TTAAGTTTGTGTTGTTTAACTACTAAAGACAGCTTAAAGCCCAAAACAGAACCAAACTCTAGATTACTTCCCAGCAGCTCAGTGCTGGTAGGTTCACCTCTACTAAGTTTTCTTCAAGACAATACACGCCGTAACAGGTCAGTTGTTTTAAAGCAGTTTCCAGGACCACTTAAAATCTGATCAACTATGTGTTTTGCAAACAACATTTTGTTAAATGTTTTACCTTCACTCAGGCTTTTAAGAAATGTTTTAGAGTTAGTTTCAGGTTTCTCTAAAAGGAATCTATTTCTAACAAGTATTAGTACTGTATGCTTGTATGGCGAGCAGTAGATGTTCTAGATAAGCATTTCTAGAAACTTATTTTGAAGTCACATGACCAGTAGTATAGTTTCTACATGTCATCTATCAAACAAGGAACACTACCATAGGATTGGAGACTATCAATTCAAAATTTAAGATAGGTGGAATAACAAGGGGAGATTCTGACAACCTCACAGTCATCTAAACACTATGCAGACCAACAGAATACGCAGGAAACATTAACAAAAGGCATGAAAACAGACAAATAAAAAGTTACTTGAAAAAGTATCAGTAAAATATTAAATTAGTTTGGCATAAAGAGTTAACATTATTCTACAAAAATATGGAAGACCTGGTTTATTCAGTCTAGTCGATCTAGACTCCACAAAGATGTCTGATGTAGTAGCATACAGAAAATAATTAGGAGTCAGGTGACTAGTAGAAGTTGTCAAGATACCTGAGGAATTGACTACAACTTGCTATGGACGTAACAGGACTGAAAAAGTGAAAATATCAGCTTGGATGGAGGTTACCTCTCCAGAACTCTTAAGAATCCACCTCAAGACCAATCTCGTACAGTGTCTGCAGCAATGACTTAGTCAGAAAGCAAGGATTTTCTAGCAAGCTAGAGGCATTGGAAGAAACAGGTAACTAAGAATAATGGAAACTGTATGAAATATAGTAGCTTAAAAAAGAGTACGTTTCTACTAGGATCTCAGGGTTGAACTCTGGCGGAGAGGTAGAACAGAGAAGGCAAAGAGCGCAGGTGTCTTAAGTGGTCACAAGAGCATTTGTATGATAAGTCTAACACAGTTGCAATATGATCCAGATGCACGGACAGAGTTATCTCCAAGCACAGAGGGAAACTCTCATCTGGAACAGTATATTCAAACTAATCAAGCATGCTCAGCATTCAAAACATAAGGCAACACAGAAAACGGATAGCGGGGTGACAGAAGGAATGGAGATTTTATGCAAGACTAAAAATTGTAGTCTGAGTAATGGCTGGGAGAAGATATGACTGCTGTCAGCACGTACAGTGGGAGAGCAAAGGTAAGCAACAGAGGGAAACTGCTGCATCTAAGAACAGTGAAACTTCCCTGGCACAAAAATCAACTAGTTATAGACATACTGGGTGTTGGAAGAAAGGTCTCAAACATCAGAGCACTTAAGACTCCAGGACCTATTTTCAATTTCTTTCACTGAGAGCAATAGAAAAATAAACTTTGTTTTATAAGGCTGGAGACTATAGATTCCTAGAAAAGTAATTAAATGGGATGATTGCTTACAAATCAGGTGACCCTTTGTTTTAAAGCAGCAAGGTCCTAAAGTTGGGAGGCCTTTTATAATTATACAGAACTGGTATTTTGTGTTCAGTGGTAGTGAAAGCCATCACAAGTCTCTAGCACCAGGGTAAGACTTTAATTCCATCACACTCGATGCTGGCTCTTTGAGGGAACAGTAGCAACATCCCAACTTTCAAGCTGAAGTCTAGGGTTTAAATTTTTTTTTTTTTTTTTTGTCCAGGGCAACGTTTTGTAGCACGTCTACCTCCAAAAGACAAAGTAAAGAAAACCCAGGATTCTTCGCACAGTTGTGTACCAGATTAGCAACATGAACACACCGTAGCTACCTGCTGCAAGACTCTTCCTTGCTGGACAAGACAGCAGGTTACATAAGCTTTGAATTTTTAAAAATATGAACAAGCACACTAGCTTACCATCAGATATGTGAGCCTTAGGCCTTAGAACAATGGGGTATTTTCAAAAAGAATTTGAAATGCTCCGCATGATACTGCTTTATAAAAGATAATGGCCTCATTTTACTTCCCGCTTTGCAGCAACAAAAATTTCTGTGTTATTTACAAGCTGATAATATCAAGTGTTGGCTTGTATATAGTATTTAGGAACTGCATTATAAACCTACAGGGGATTAAAATCATTGGGACTTAAAAGGCAAGGTTATTTTAAAGTGCACATTTAAAATGTAGAGAAATAGCAAGTGATTAAAGAAACAGAAATTCCATTTGAAAGTAAGAAATACATTTCTCAGTTTCATTTTTCAGCTGTGTTTCCAACTCAAACATTTCATCTTTGTACTAGAACAAAGATACATGAAAGTGAGCGAGTAGAAATCAATTATAAAAGTGAAACTATCTTGTCTGTTTTTACTATTTGAGGAAAAAGGTTTTCAAACACCTGTTCTGTATGTCTTTGCAGTTAAAATTATTTGTGTTAAACTTATTAATCCTTTAATTAATTTATTTTTCAACTGATTAAATTGCAGTCAAAGAAATTTACTGTGAATAAAAAAGGATGCTGTTGAACATAGCGATTTCCCTTCGAAATTCTTCATAAGGGTGACAGTCATCTTGCATTTGTGCTTCTAAAATGCCTTCCACAATGAGGTGCTGACCCGTAACAAGGAACATGGGCATTATCACAATACAAATAAAGGCACGACTAACTGCTGGATACAAAAAACAGAAGTAAAGTAATGTTCTCAAGCTAGGGTTTGATAAAGAACTGAGAACACTGCCTGTATGCATATCAAGACAAGAATAAAAAAAATACAAAAGAAGCAAGTCACATATATTCCTTCATGATACATATATCTACTAAATTTCTCCATTAAACTGTTACACATGGTCTCTTTCAAGATTATTGTGAACAAACACATACAGAAATTACATACTTCAATGTAACTTAACCATAAGAATTCAACAAACAAAATAGTTAAGAAACAAAGAGGTTCCAACAGCAACAATAATGTCCGAAGTATCAAACACACCAACAAAAAGTTTCTAAAGGGCAACACAAACACTGGAATGCAATGCCTCACAAAAGCTTTTTTTCACACACTAGTATTAATTTAAATGTATTAGTACTATCCCCAGTTGAACCTCAGAAGCTGACTCTTTGCTAGATTACATTTAATAACTGAGCCACAAACAGACCCAGGTAAAGTACTGACAATTGTGTAATACAGCTCAACCAGCTAAATCGGCCACAATTTCTTCAATGGAGGTAGAAACACGCTGTATGTTGGGGGTTTTTTTGCAAACATCAGCCCCATGGTTTCCAGTATGATTCTTTGGTTAGTAGAAGATTTGAAGAGGCTGTTGGACTTAAACTGAAGTGTCAAAATAGGTCAAAATTATAATTCCTTAGTTCTCCCAGGGGAAATTCCCAGGATTGCAGAGATGCTCATGCCAACTCAAAAATCATGTTGATCAGAAAACATACCACATTAACCGTTTAATTTTTGCCTAGCAAAAAAGTGTTTCTGTGGCTAGAGTAGAATCCATTCCAATAGCTGCTACAGGGAGCCAAAGACTCAGACCAACAACTGACCGCCTCACTACATTTCTTCACTCCTGTTATTGTGTACAGAAGCTGTCTGTACTGGACATTGCTGGTAACATGATTAGCAGTTTCAGACATGCCCAGGAGTTCCTGCCATCAAGAACATGTTATCTTATGTATCTTTCATATCAAGGTGCAGGAGAAAGAGGCAAACACTGCTGGTTTGAAAAAGGTCTATTAGGGATCCAAACGAGAGCATTTCCCAAGCTTTGCAAAATTAGTGAGCATAGGGGCCAGCTTCAGTAACACAACATATTCGCACACTCGCTTGGTTAACAGGAAAAAGTACCACATCAGCTTTTAAAAACAGGGCACAGGAATTATTATTCACAATGTTACAAAGGCTTTTACAAGTTTTTTTCCACACTTGAAGTTGAAGCACTTTCGTAACTGCATGAAGTTTATGTTCCCCCTCCCCCTAAAGGGACTAAGCTATGCTTGCATTTTAAAAACTGGTGATACATAGAAAAAGAACACTAATGATAGAATCTCCCTTTTATGAGGCACATACATTGTTCAAATATTGCTTGAGAACAGTGTGATAAAGAGATGTTTTCCATGAATCACAATCTACTAGGAACAACTTCAGAGTTCTTGATATACAGCTATTCCAGCACATTTTTTGTCATAAACTATTTAAATTAATAAGCCACTTTCATACTATTTCACCATCTTTCAAACTTTTGTAACAATGTTTGGAAAAACAAATATTATTCATTAAAAAGTCATGAGACTCATCAGCCATGCAACATTTGGTCACTTTATGTTAAGAGTCCATGTATTAATATATTCATGACTTATGAAAGGTAGAGGCTTTCACGAATCATTAACCTACATTATTAACTGTTACAGCATCCAACAGCTTGCTCATGGTAATAGCACGTAGCTACCTATTTTACCTTGTATTACCATGGTCACACCCCTCTGTAACATGCCCATAACGTGTTTATAACTTGCAACAGTTCATAAATGATTTATAAAGAAATCTTAAAATGAAATATGCCCCTGTATCTTTTTTTTTTTAAACCATCTGGGTTCTGAAGACACAATATGTGAAAGCACAAGGCAAAGATGAAAACAAGATACATCTGACTTTAAGATGATAGATGAAGAAAAAGGGCTTTTGTTGTTTTAAAATATATATATATATACACACATGAGGTATTGATTACTCTCAATATAAGCTAACATTGCAACAGTATGATCATGAGCATAATTTTATGAAGTTTTAAATGGAGAAGTGCAGCTGGAGAAGTGGCAGTTTATGTATACTTAACTGAATTGCAAAATGAACATAAGCATAGAATTAAACTTTCAATCAGTGTAATCACTTACCAATTTCAGCAGGTAGTTGCTTGATTTTGTTCTCTCGTATGCTAAGCATGGTGAGTTTTGACAAGTTCTTGATATCCTTTTCCACAGTAGTTATACGATTAAAGCGTAGGTAAAGAGTGGCGAGAGAGCTTAGCCTATACACCACCGAAGGGATTTCTCTAAGTTTGTTATGCCGCAGGTCAAGCATGCGCAGTTTCTTCAAGTTATCAAGAGAGTCAGGCAAACTGGTAAGTGAGTTTTCACTCAGGGCCAGTGTCATCAGGTTCACAAGACAGCCCACCTCTGCAGGTAGGGACTGCAGTTTGTTACTGTATAAATAAAGTTCTGTTAACTGCGTTAGCTCTTTGATAGCTGATGGAAGCATGTGTATAGACCTCTTGGACAAGTCCAAGCGCATTGAATTCTCTTCCCGGCATTTATTTAGCTCTTTGATCACTTCAGCGTTGCTGGATTTTTTGCGGGTACCTGTGGCTGGATTAGGTCTTTTTATCGTATTGTCCACTGAAAAAGCTACCCCAGGCTGCGTGCTACTGGAGTCCTTCTTTCCATCTTTGGCATCTTTCCCTTTGGTCTTAGGCTCCTTTTCTTTGCTCTCTTTCCCAAATCCTCCAGAGGCTTTGGCCTCCTTCTCCCTTTCTTTTGATGATGGGACTTTTGGATCCTTCTCTTTACAGTCCTTTTCTTTTCCTAGATTACTACTCATGGTGACTCGACGTTTAGCAAGCACCACATGAAATCTGTTTCTGAAGTTCACAAGACAATTCACTGCTGAGGTGACAAGGATCCTTAAAAAATGCAAGCGTTGAATCAAGGGAGGAGCTTTGGAGGTGTGATAGCCATTTGCTACATATTGGTTCTTGGGGTCTGAAGGCACTCCTTCCTAATCCTGGTATCAGGAGATTCAGCTGTAGAGATTAGAAGGTCAAATGCTCCGTAATAGTATTTCTGTAACACAGAGAGAAGAGAAACGAAAGTTAGTGCTGAATGTTTCTACATCAAGGCTGTGCTCACTAACTCAGGTTAATGATTTGTCCTTCTCTTCAAATGTCAATGAAAAACCCAGTGCCAAACCAAAAATACTACATATATTGCTCATAAGACCCACTGTGGTAGAAGAGCTATATACTAATTAGTATACATGAGGAAAGAAAAATTACAATTCTTAAACATAATACTGCCTTCAGTACTATATTTGAGTCACTGTCTTATGTCTTAGCTAGTTCTTAGCATAACACTCTGGTCATCAACATGAATATTCTCTCCCCTCCACTCTCAATCAGTCAATAAAGATTTGCTATAATTTTAAGTGCCTGCCTCTTCAAACAAATCTGTACAGGCTTATTCTTTCAGCACAAAAGAGTCTCAATTCGATCTACAGTGAAATCTAATACACTACTGTAACACGAACACTTCACCTCGAGATCTCCCTTCTGACTGGCTCTGAAGCGCAGGTCTCTGCTTTTAACATGGAGCAGAACGCTGTCACCAGCTTCACGTGCTTTGAAGACATAGACACGACGATTTTTAAAATAAACCTATCAAAGTCAACTGAAAGCTTAGAAGAAATAATATATTATGCTTCAAGACAAGCAAAATTATGAAGGAATTTCTCATGAGACTAGGATATAACATACCTTTAGACAGTAGCTTGAATTTTTCTGCCCTCGATGACTATAATGCAGCCTAATAAGTGAACAGATGTCTGAAACCTATAGAGCCCCATTTACACTTTTACAAAATCATCATGCATCATAGAAAGTAACTTTGCTTCATGTTTCAATTTAAAACACATGACATGCCCAAGAACTTCACAATTCTGAATATTCTGGAGAGGTTTTTGAATGTATCTTTGTGGAAGAAAATAAATGGTCAATCAATGGCAACAATAATTTCACGTCTCCATATTAGTCCACCTTTTAGCCCAGAATCAACTTCCCTTTGTTATGCAGCATTCACTGATGAAGAAAGTTTGTTTGTATCTCAGAAGAGTACCTTGTTTCCCTAGCCACCTGAGCTATGTTAAAATACCCTTAAAACCTCCATAGGAGCTGTGTCGCTGCCCTGGCATCCCATCTCCTGCACCAGTTCATAAAGCTCATAATCAATATCAATTAAATAATATTTTGCATACTTAAGCCATCTGCAAGTACTAGAAATACAAACTTTTTTAGCAAAGCTCAAGTAACTATTTTAATTGCAGTTATGCTATGTGTGTCTTCAAGTATAAACATGTGCTCGGAGAACACAAAGGAGCACACTGCTCAATATATTCGTTCACATAAAAAAAAAGTAAAGAAAATCTATTTACGGACGGTAAGAAGGGCAAGCCACTTTACTTCAGCTGCAAATCAAGCTGTTTAGTAACAAAGCTCAAAAGAGAGCCTCCCCAGGAGGTGTCTTCCAGTCCTTCACCCTGATTCATTACTGCTGCAGTATCACAGTGTGTGCTACAAACCCCATAATATCAAAAAACCCTGCTGCCTCCAGTTACTGTGTTCTGGACAACTCTGTTGTAAAGGACCATGTCCGTTTGCTAGCAGCAGCAAGCAACAACAGCTTTTAACTTGGAAATTTTCTCCAACACAGAGTTCTCTAAAGCAGCACAAGCCGGTTCCTTACTGCATCCTTAAGATTTCCACACAGCTTTTACACCATCCATTAACCTGACCTATCCTCAAGATTACCAGCCTCACTACATTGTATTTTAAAACTTGCTCTCAGCACTGTATAATCTATGTGCTTGTAAAACTCCAGCAATATGAAATGTAATGACTCCAAATGCAAAAACGCAGCTGACTAAAAGGGTGGGAGCCTGAGATGCCTGACAACTTGTTTTCAGTATGGAAGGTAACACAAAGAATCAAGACCTAACACAGTTTCTAAATTCTGATAATACACAGAAAACTCAGCCAGGTAGCAGTGCCAGACAGCTACTGCTCCACATCAAGCCCCTGAAGTGCAAAATACTCAAAGGGCTGCTGCTCTCATGAGCGTTCGATCTAATCAAATTTAGGACCTGCCAAGAGATTTGTTTCATTTCTTATGTGCACTGCAGCTGAAGGAGGTTTTGAAAGAGCCTCAGAAAGGAAAGACGGCTGGAGATTAGCACTGCTGAAAGCAGCTCGGTAGTGCAAATGCTCCAAATAATCTGCACACATTTCACTGTCTTCATTCGCAATTACTTTAATTGTACCTAAAAAAAGGGGGGGGCAGGGGTCGTCCCTGTTTCAATATGCCAGTTTAACATTGCAGTTTCTGGTAAGGAACAAAAATCTTTTGCCTATACAAAAGGATTAAAATTGAGAAGTCATTAAAAACATCATCTGAAACATATAAAGAAAATTCAGAGCAATACAAAGGGTCATGACCAGAGACTTCAACACCGTGTCACAGTTAAAGACGTTAGGAGGCAGTCAACTTGCAGGCAAGCCACAGGCAGCCATGGTTTTCCAACACACGGAAACTGGAGCCAAGCTCACAGTGCAGCAGACCTTCAAAATATACTCCCTGCTCAGAGTGACAAAAGGCTAACAGGTAAATGTACTGCACCTATGTCATTTTTATCTCTTTACTGAGGATTTTAATTACTGCCTGAGACTGCAGAATGTATTTTAAATAGTTTGAGAAGGTTTAGCCTCTTTCTTTCCAAATAAAGTAATTCTCTAATACCTAGAATGACTACAACTGTAACTTAGAAGAAGAAAAAGCTTATGAGACCTTTTCCAGATGAAAACACAATAAAAGCCAAGGCAGGGGGAATCACATCAAAGAAAATGCCTCGACTGGAACAGCCTCACCCCTCTGGAGTCACTGGCATTTCCCCTTTCTCCTGCCTGCTCATCAGGGCCAGGATTCCCAACAGCAGAAGGTCCCACCATCCTGCAGAGTTGTGGTGCACAGCAGGTACCAGCCAGATTTCACCCAGTTACTCCATGAAGCAGTAACCTCCTCTGCCACAAGGCAACATTTGTGTCCTGGTGATTCCGTTACTCTTGACATCCCTGCAACCTTTCTTCCCCTCTTTGGTTTATTTCAGGGGGAAAAAGTCCTAGCAAGTACAAGAGCCAGGGCAGAACTGTAATTCATGAGACAACCCTTTCTCTTCCTACAATCCTCTCAGCCACAACACATCACCAACTTCCACAAGTGAAAGATGTCCAAGCAAGAAGTCCTCCTACCTAACTAATGCTGACTTACACCCTGAATTAGCCAAACCTGTGAAATTACTCTTCTAGGCTGTCCTGTAAGTACCGTATGACGTTCTTGTAGTATAAGGCAACAGCAGCACAGGACCTAAATAACTATATGAAACTCATCCTATTTCTAGTATTTTGTAACTTTTAATACTGCCATTGCAACCTAAAATTATTTTTAACATATTTGCATGCAATATAGATGAGAATACATATTTCCATTTACATGTATTCTCATCTATATGCTGTATGTTTTCAGTTAGCAGGACTAAAATCTTGCCATTTTCTACATTAATGACAGAGTTGTGTCTCAAAATTTAACAGGGCAACTACACTCAGAACTCCTTAATCCTACCAATACGCATACAAATGAAATGCTCAACTTCACATAAGCATCTCTGCAGAACTTTCATTTGTAGTTGCAGATCATTCAAGCTGATGGGGTTACTCACATACATCAAGTTAAGCATGTATGTAAACTTCTGGCGGACATGAGTGTAATTATATATACTACAGAGGACGCTAAGTATGTTTCAAAAGGTTATTCATATTTATCAAGCCCTTTTGGTTAAAGGACAAGAGTCAGCATCAATTCTAAACTACAGTCAAACAAGCATTCATTGTATCTCAAAAGGAGAGCTTCTTTTAGAGATATTTTTAGCAAAAGGAAATTCAGTGAAATTAGCCAGTTCTGCCAACTACTTCCATTTTCCAATGCTGTTCAAACTGACTTCCTGTCAATATTAATTGACATTAAAACATTTAACTATTATGTGCTGGAGAATTTGGAAAACTGAGTAAGACTCTTGCTTGGTGCTGCATATGAAGGAAAATAAAACTTCTAGAGAAGTTAAGGAAAATAATCTCTTCCTGTTCCAAATATTATTTTTTTAAGTAAAATATTTGTAAATAGCTATAAATAACCAGCATTAGTGTTTTGATTCACTCCTCCTGATGTCTGGTGAACATAATCCAGATGTATTTATTTTTTTTCTGTCAACTGTAACTGATGAAACTTCAGAAATGCAAACAACTGCAGCCTAAACTGTATCGCCTTCCTTAGCTGCCTGGAAAAGAACACCACATCGACCTTGTATATTTTACTGATTTTTTTTTTTATATATGTACAAGTAATTGAAGAGAGATTTCAGTTACTCTGAACAACAGAACTCAAAACATTTATGCAATAAATGTTTTATAAAAAAACGTGGTAACGTAGGAACAATCATGTCTGCGATTCTAGGAATACTACTAAACTAATCACCTGCAACTTGGTAATATAAATACTGAAGCTTCCTGGTCATTATCTAATACAATATGACACTTGAGATAAAGGATTTCACCCAACTGCTATTCAAAGGCAGCTGTAAAAGACTTAACTGTCTCCTACCCACTACTGCAGAGCAACTTTACTACCCCCCCCAAAAAAAAAATCCACTGCCAATATTACTTCACAGCTTAGTAAAGATTTCCCCCTAATTACTTCTTTTAATTTTTATTTTATATGAATAAACTCTCGAGCAGTTTGCATGCAGCTCTCTAATGAAATGATGCAGCAGGTGACTGGCACCAGGGCTGCACTGGTGCCGGCATGACCAAACCCCAGGTGCCGGAGGAGGCCAGCCAG